ACACTAACCATTCTAACACAGCAGTATGTGCACGCATGCACAGCAGATACCCAAAAATCAGTTGGCTGGCAGAGGGCACACATGCATGCGCAGTGGGGCTCCTCTGGGTGACCTCTCACGTGACAGCAGAAATGGCTCTGTGAGACACTTCCGGTATGTGTGCCATACGTTCACTATCATGGCTATAGAGGATGTTTAACCTATAGTCAGAATGATAAATGAGTGAGTTATTCATTAACTCTTTTTTATGTTACATTTTTGTTTCTATGATGTCCTGTCTTCCCTACAGGGGAAGACAGGATATCATAGTGGCCATTAGTGACTTTCATTAAATCCTATCCTCTGTCACAGAATTAGGGAGCAACCATCAAGAGGTAATGGCGATGGATCTCAAGTAGGATCCACCTGGTGGATCCTTTGAATTTTTCTGCTCTAATCTGAGAATCAAGGAAAGCCACCTGCATTTTTTTTTACTTTCTTTTAAATGAAGGCCAAGAGAGATAGCTGAATTTGTACTTCTCAAATGTCAGAACTACTATGACCAAGCAATATTTTTGTGGATTTCTTTGACAAATGATTTGATAAAATATTGTTATGATTTGCCGGCAAGTTATTTTCCATAATCCCCAATTCAACGAATAGTAATTATTTCCTGATTCTTTCAGAAATGCAGAAATATTAAGCTTTTCCTAATACTTTAATACGTCTCTCTTCCAATTGATTCTGGTTCTTGAAATTAGCTGCTTAGAGATCACCATTTCAAGGCCAGGTTTCTGGGAAAATGGGGAGAATGGACAAGGACTTAATTAAGCCAATAAAGGAGAATATTTGAAGCTCAGGGTTGAAATGAGAGGTCCTTGGTGCTCTGTGAGCTTGTTTTCTTGTAGATGTTTTTGATGATCTTAACTAATATGGATAATGAAAGATCTGCAAGAAAACAAGCAAGCTCACAGAACACCAAGGACCCCTCACTGAATTAAGCCTCGAGATTCTTGGGCAACCTCCACAATTCAGTGCAATGGCAGACCCCTTTTACTAACTCCAATGGGGAACATTAAAATTAGTACAACTATAGATTCTAACAACATTTAGTAGGTGTGCTCAGTACTGACAGATTAGTATGGGTGGTCTTTGACTTGCAACAGTTCATTAAGTGACCGTTCGAAGTTACAACAGCACTGAAAATAGTGACTAATGATCATTTTTCACACTTAACGACTGTTGCAGCATCCCTATGGATGCTTGGCAATTGGTTTCACATTTATGACAGTTGTAGTGTCCCAGGGTCTTGTGATCAGTATTTTGGTGATTTCTCACAAGCAAAGTCAATGGGGAAGCCAGATTCATTTAACAACCATGTGACTAATGTAACAATAGTAGTGATTCACTTAACAACTGTGGCAATAAAGTTCGTAAAATGGGGCAAAACTCACTTAACGGGCTCACTTGGAAACATAAATTTTAGGCTCAATTGTGGTCAAAAGTCGAAGGCTACCTGTAAACCAGAAGCCTCCCTAATTATTCTGAGCACCGCTTGTCTTTAAGGCCTTCAATCTCTGTCCTCAGCACAACAAAATCAAAGCTGAAGTTAGCAATGGAGACACTTTTCTGCACACTACTGCACCAGTGTGCAAAAGAGCGAAGGGTTGAGATGACTATCAGCTGGAGATCATCTATCTGTTCTAGTATGCACACCAAAAGGAACATAATACTGATTTTTATCTCAAAGATATTGGAGTTATCCACAACTTTCTAACCACAGCTTCCATGGAATTTTTACACAAAAACTCTAGCCAACTGGCCCAGAAGTCAAAGAATGGTCTAATCTTTTTCCACTTTCAGCGATGGCTGAAGCATTCATCCCATTTCCAAAAATTGACATGTACAAAATATTTGCTAATGAATTACCAACATTGAGTGTTGCAGCAAATCAAACCAAATTATATTATGTTGGAAGCCTGTGTGCAAAATCCTTGGAGTGTGAGAATGTTTCTTAAAAAGTCAGTTGCCGTTGTTGGACCTTGGTCTGGTATGTAGCTTGAGTGTAGCATAGTGCTTAATCTTTCCTCTAAGCCATCACACCAAATGTTTAAACTAACGAATTGTCTTCCCACTCTGCAATCTGAGCAGTTTGGAAGTCCCTCCTCGGTATAAATTTTTTTAAAAAGCTTCATTCATACCTACCTTTTAAAATTTGATGCTTGGTAAGAGTCTTAACTGTAATTCCTGATATCTAGGTTGAAGATATCTTATGTATGAAACACAGCTTGAAAACTCTGGAAACTTCATTAATCTAACTATTCTTCAAGGTAATCTACTTGGTTATAAAAGCTGACGATAGAAACATGTTTTTCTTCAGTGGGACTTCAGCTAATTTTCTTTTCATAAAAAATGAACTTATCTTCACATCATCTGCACTAAAATCTGCATTATAATAAAGTGAATTCTGGATCCTGTACGGACTATGCAAATAAAATACACGTGCACGTATTTGGGGGTCCTTTTGCACCAATTACCCAAGCAAACAAGTAATTGGAAGAAGATTCTCTATAATCCTGGAGTTTTATCTTTTGGTTACTATGTGTGGTACCTATATCACTGTTTTTTCTTCTCTCTTTCATTCTTTGTAAACAGTTTAGTTCCAACTATAAATGCATTCTTTTTTCTTGAAAAAATGAAAAACAGAACTCTAAGTTTAATGCCCCAAATTAAAATAGTTCCTTGCATAACATCAAGGACATTTTTTTTAGGTCACAGAAAGGCAAACCTGGTTCAATGTCTTAAGAAAATGTCAATGCCTCACATTTATGGTGAAAAAGCATCATAGCCTTTCCAAACCTGATGAACTGTAATACCAATTATCCCCAATTAAGGTGCCCACTGTGAAGGAAAAGGCTTATATAATTTCAAAAATACAAGGTGGCAATGATGAGGCTGGGCTTTTGCTTCGCAACAAAGAAATGATCTCAGGACAAGGAATACAGGTTGTTTTATGTAACAATAAAAGTCTAGATAATTAAAAAATTTTACCCTTTCTATTAATTCTATTCTAGTATCTCTCAGGGCACTGTCAACTCTGAAGCAAATCTGGTTGAAGTTATCTTTTTATTTCTCATAGTTGCTATGAGCCCTGAGAGGGGGAAGGAAAAGGGGAAGTAGATAGACTGGCTAATAGTCAAAACAATTTTTTTTTTCTTGTGGGAACCAAGGTCATTTCAGCAGATAGCAATTAAAGGAGAAAGGAGTGACCAAGTATCCTGCCAGCTGCTTTCAATGGAAAATGTGATCATTGACATCTGGGAGGGGAAATATTTGCTTTTTTAATTAGATGAAAACTGTGAAAAGTTTTATATATATATTTTTACCAGCTATGCCAATATGATATATCCTATAAACATGTTCTTTGAGGAATCTACCTGCCTTGGAGTTCTGCTTTGGTGAATGTGTTACTCGGAATGCTGACAGGCACATTGTGAAAATAAAGCAGTCTGAGGAAATGGTTCTAGCATAATTAAAAGTTTAGCTTTTTTACTAATAACTAAAAAACAACTAGCATTTCACGTCTGGTATTCACCTGTTATTTTTTTAAAAAGAGTAATAGATTGAGAGATCACTGAATGGGGCACTACATCTGCAGCGATCAGAAAGTGAACTTTATTTTTAGGCAATAATTCTTAGGTATTATTATGGCCCTTCAGAGCCTAGGTCTGAGGAGATGGAGCCAGGGCTGACGGAGAGGGATGGCACAGTCCCTATGGCCTAGGAGAAATGACCTGGGGAGGAGGCAGTCCTGGATCCCTTGGGCTTCAGAAGTGTAAGCAGGGAGGAAGAAAGGACGCAGACTGATCGAGTGAAGAGGGAAAGGGCAGGCAGTGGAGCAAAGGAGCAATGGAGCTCCAGTGGTGAGCAACTGCCTTCCTCACCCGATCCCCAAGTGGAGAAAGGAGGACAAGTCAGCGCAGGGCAGCACGACTACTTGGGAGGGTGCCCCACCCATAGGGTCACCTGGGGAATACTATTTAGGGAAACGCCATGAAGTGGGGCTTTTGCCAGGAACAAGTGTTTGTTTTTGGATTACACTCCCCAGGCTTTGACTCATACCTTTTGCCTTGCTGTGAAGACTGCTTTGCCTTGCTTTGAGGACTGTTCTTGTCTTGTCCTAGCCTTGAAGACTTTCCTTTTGAAACTGCTCGTCTTATGCCTGGACTTTTGCCTTGTGGCTTGGCTGGGTAATCTATGAATTGTTGTTAGGGGGACTAGAGTGGAGCCTTGCTGGTCAGTGGAGGGTCATTTGTTTAACCATTCCCAAGAGAAATAAAGACCACTCTGGAGGACTGCCTAACCATGACTACCTGGGTCATAACAGGTTGTTTTTTTTAATCTTCTAGCATATTATGTTCATACTAGATGAATTAACCCATTACCCGGGTTTACACAATGTACTGGAACTTAATCTAATTAAATGATTGGGATCCACACAACGAAACTTAAGTGTCCTGAGCGGTGCAATAGCTTGAGTGTTCATTGTCCTGATAAATGTGTTGTGTCAACATGGCCACCATAATTAATTACAAGAGATCCTTGGTCAGCGTTATCAGGTCATATGTCAATAAAAAGGGTGAACTGCATTAAGTGCTATGTACTGATTCCCCCCAGGACTCTCTAATTCCTTCCACTGCTTCCCATGACTCAATGTGAAAAGCATTACAAATGTAGCAGCGTTCTCTTGAAGTACTCAAGAATATACTTTTGAGATATTCTTTGCTGAATGTGAGGAGTGTTTTGCCAGCACTGTCATTCACAAAGAAAGAGGTGAGGTGTGCAAGTAGATGCAGGATTACTGGCAATCAGATGGGAGGCCTGCCATCAATCCCCCTGTGTATTCATGGTCAGCCCTAAGAATCGGCTGTAATAAAGTTCATCTAACCTGCAGGCCAACCCATTGAAATCAAACCCAGCCCTGTTGTATATATTCCACGACACTACAAACTTAGGTTGATAATTTTTCCATTTATCAAAGTTGTAATTTTTAAAAAAAGGCAAAATACTTCACAGCAGCTTCCCCAAGAAGGGATCTCCATCATTTTAAAGATTTCAACCCTCTGCTAATACAGACTGGTCATTTTCTCTAAAAAATACATTGCTTTTGCTTCACGACAAAGAAATTTTCTCAGGGCAAGGAATACAGGCTGTGTTATGTAACAGAAAATCTGTCTAGATGATTAGGAGACCTATTACCTTTTCTATTAAAGGAGAGAATGAGGGAGGAAGAAAAAGGAGATAGAGAAAGAAAAAAAAGACATCCAACTGGCGCCACCACAATATTAGTGGTTCAGTATTGTCCAGGAAGTCAACTCTAGAAAGGCTCAGCACGTTTTTAGAGTAATCAGTTTCGTTCTACTGTGACACTTTATTGTAGATCACAAATTGGTATTGTGGAACTGCCACCTTGCCTATACTGCTGCAGATAGCCACACCCACAGATAAACCTCTGCATATATTGAACCAAAAGTTCATCAGTCATCTGGCTCATTATGACACTAAGCTAAGCAGTGGGCTGGTTCCATGCTTTGGTCCTTATTGAGCTTTCAATGCTGGGAAACAGAGTTTTCTTTCCTTCTGGGAAGATCTTGGCTAAGTAGTGTGGGTTCTCCGATGTCGAACCAGGTGTGAATTCTGACCAAACTTCTTCCCGCAGTCAGGACATTTGTATGGTCTTTCTCCTGTATGTGTGATCTGGTGTCGGATGAGATCAGAACTCCAACGGAACTTCTTCCCACATTGGCTGCACCCATATGGACGGTCTCTGGCATGGGATACTCGGTGCCTGGTCAGCTCTGAGCTCTGGTAAAAACTTCGGCTGCACTGAGCACATCGGAAAGGTCTCTCTGAGGCATGGGTCCTCTGGTGACGAGTCAGCTGGGAAGTATGACCAAAACGTTTGCCACACTGAGGGCACTGGTGGGGCTTCTCCCCAGTATGGATCCTTAGGTGGGTGAGCAGATGGGAGTTACGGCTAAATGTTTTCCCACATTCTGAACACTGGTGAAGGGACTTTCCTGCTGGGTGAGAGCGTCCAAAAGAGTTTGGGTGTGCAACTGGATTCTCTCTTATGTCTCCACATCTCACTTCAAATTGTTGACTCATCCGCTCACCACAATTCTCACCCAACACTTTCTCCCGAGAATTCCCAGGTAGCAATCCCATTTCCATCATTCCTCCAGGCAAAGAGTGCTCTTCTCGGTTTCCATTGGCCAGTAGGGAGCCTGTTAAGAAAGAAAAAGGAAAGTCTTTCATAATGGGCAGATGAGTCTGACAACATGCAGCTACCAACTTAAGACAAACAGGCACAGGTAGTCCTTGACTTACAACCAGTCATTTAGTGACCAGTTGAAATTGAACCAGACCCCCCAAAAGCTACTTATGATCTGGTTTTGAAGTTCTGACATTGTGCTCTCCTGCCAATGTGCAGCTCCATTTTGGGTGCTTGGCAACCAGTCTGCATTTACGGCTCTTGCAGTGCACAGTAGTCAGATGGCTGATTTATGATGGTTTTGCTGGAAAGCAGCATTTACTTCTAGTTTCCAGCAAGAAACGGTTGACAGCAAACAATGGATTCATGCCATCACATTCATTGAACAACCCCAACAAAAAAGATCATAAAACTGGATTTGGCCACGTGGTGATTCAGTTTTACAACCATCATGACTTATGACTATAATTGCCAGTCTCAATGATGTCTGCAACTGGAGGACTATCCGCATGTTCTCCATTGTACATTTACTACAAACTGTCTCAGTTCTTGTAATTTCTGTCTGTAAACTGATAGCTTATATTTTATCATTTTAGAAATGATGAAGCTGGGCAGTTACTTTGGACCTTTATAACCTCAACAAAAATCTTGTTCTGCTATTAGCACAAATGTTAGACTGACTCTCGGCTTTCCTGCGGCCCATGTGCTGCATCTGGGTTGTCTGCCTCCCCCCTGCACCTCTTCCTCCATCTGCTGCAGGTGCTGCTACATGAAGATAAGCCTCCTGTGGCCACCCCACTCACTCTGGCCTGATTTGGCTTTCCCGTGGCTCATGCAGCCTATCCGGATCACTTGCACCTTCCTCTGACTGCTGCTTGGACAGGTAATCAACTCACCTGTGCTGAGCGGGCTGCGGCTACTGATTGACACTGTCCGCCCCTGTGGCCTTGACGCCTCTGGTGCTGGCCACACACACCTGGCTGATCCTGATCTTGACTGGGGCTTATTTGGGGGGAAGGGCCTATTAGGAGCATGCTAAAAATCAGGTTAGGGCTTATTTTCTGGTTGGGTCTTATTTTCAGGGCAATACGATTGTTTGAAGAAATAAGGAAAGAGTATACAACCTTGTCTTACTCCTTCCAAACTTCCACCAAGTTCCATCCAGATTAAATCTTCCTGTGCTGTGTAGGAGGTTTTGCAAGAAAACAATGAGACATTCTAAGATTGTTGTTTTCCTAAGAACATGCCACAATTTGACATGGTTGATACAATCCATGCCATTTCTATATTCAATGAAGCATGTATTGATTTAACTTTTGGTATTCTTTCTCAATTATCCACCATGCATCAGCAATAATATATGTTGTTCCTCAGCCTTAGAATCATAGAATTGCAGAGTTGGAAGAGACCTAAAGAGTCATCACATCCAACCTACTGCACACTGCAGGATTTACTACACCATCTCTAATAAGAGGACAAACTAGCCTTTCTTTGAAAACCTCAAATGAAAAAGACCACTTCCATGCAGTAATTTATTCCACTGACAGCTCTTGCTGTCAAGTTTTTCTTTAGATCTAATATGTGCATATATCCTTGAGGTTTCATCCTTTTAAATATAATTTTACCCTCTGGAGCAAGTAAGAATGAGCCCAAATAGCAATAGCACTTAGTGCTTTATAACACTCTTTTAAGTAGTTTACAGAATCAGCATATTGCCTCCAACAATCTGGGTCCTCATTTTATCAACCTTGGAAGCATGTAAGGCTGAGTCACCTTTGAACCAGTTAGGATCAAACTCCTAGCAGTAGGTAAGAGTTAGCCTCCAAAACTGCATTATAAAGCACTACATTACCACAAATCCTCCGTGACAGCCCTTTAGAAAGTTGAATGCAACATCACGTTGCCTCTTACCTGTCTCATCTGCAAGCTAAACATACCTAGGTTGTTTAACTGTTCCTTATATGATTTGGTTTCCAATCCTTTCAACCTTCTTGGAAGCCCTTCTATGGACTTGCTCCAGTTTATCAATTTTTTAAAAACTAGATGTATAGAGCTGAATGCAATAACCCAAGTGAAGCCTGACCAAAGCATAACAGATTGGGACAATTACTTCTCACAATCTGAACTCTATCCTCCTCTTGATGCTCTTCAAGATGATGTTGGTATTCACTGCAAGCCGCACAACACTGTTGAGAGTTGCTGAGTTTATGATCCACTAGTACACCAGGTCCTTCTCACATGTGCTCCTCATGAGCGATGATTTTCTGCATCCTATACCGATTGTCCTCAACCGAATAACTGTAATGGGAGCTTGAAATGTCCTTTGTATGTCATGATGTTCATACGTTGAGGAAGACCAACCTGATTTTATGATGATCGTAAAGTGAATCTGGCAGTTGTAAACCAAATCTATTGTCAGCAATGGGTGTTTTTTGCCAGCAAAAAAAAAAAAAAGCCATAAATCACATGACTGCCAAATCTACAAATGGCTGTTAATGTAGCCAGTTGCCAGGCACCCAAAATTCGATCATGTGACCATGGGTGGATAGGGAAGTGGCTGTTTGGAACTATGAGTCGGAGTTATAAGTATATTTGGGAGGGTCCATTGTCACTTTGAATGGTTGCTAAGTAATCGGTGATAAATGGACTACCTTTATCTGTTTCTTTTTTTTTAAGCTTACATTTCTCCGTGTTCAATTTTATTCTATTTCTTTCTGCCATTATCTAGCTTCTCTAAATCTTCCTGATTTTTTCTTCTGTCCTCTCATGTACTGACCATCCTTTAGAACTAGCTGTAGAGTACGATCCTTGAGCCAACTGTGAATCCATCTAATGGTTGAGTTGTCAAACTCACGTTTGACCACTTTGTAGGTAAGGATGCTCTGAGAGATTTTGTCAAGTCTTGCTAAAGTCAAGATATACTATATCCACAGCATTTTCCTGATCAACCACCAGTAATTCAGTCAAAACGAGATTGTTAATCTGATATGATTTGTTCAGCATAAATTCATGTTGGCTCCTATTAATTAATGAATTCCTATCTATGCACTCAGACATGCTGCCTGATAATCTGTTCAAGGACCTTGCCCAGTATTAATGTCAAACTCTTAGGCTTTCCAGAGTCCTGCGTCTTCCTTAAAAAAAAAAAAGAACAATAATCCATTTCCAGTCTTCTGGGACCTTGTTTATTCTCTAGGTGTACTTGGAATTACAGAAAATGATTCTGCAAATATTTCTGCTAGTTTCTTCAATACCCAAGGGCAGGGGCTCCCAACCCAGGTCATTGATCCCCAGTACCAGTCTGTGGCCTGTTGGGCTGCACAGCTGGAAGTGAGTGGCAGGAAAGCGAGTGAAACGGAATCCATTCCCCCCATGGAAAAAATGTCTTCTATGAAACTGATGCCTGGTGCCAAAAAACGAGTGGGGAGGGGTGCTGCTCTAGGGTATAAATCATCTGGTTCTGAATATTAACTCATTTAAATTAGCTAGGAATTCCCTCAGTTTCTCTTTGCTTATCTTGAGTTTCAGTTCATTTCCTCCCACCAATGCCACAGTGTGAGTCAACTGAAGGTTCATTCAACTTTTGAGAAAAAACAGATGCAAAATAAGAGTTGAGTTATGTCTTCTATCCTCTTCCTTAACCATTTTACCATTATCTCTCTGCAGAAGACCTCCTGTCTCCTTGACTTTTCTTTGGCTTGGGACTTTCCTGAAACAAAAAAAAACTTTTATTTGTTGTTTTTGGCATCCCTGGCTAGCCTGCACTAGGCTTAATTCTTCTCCCACTAGATCTGTAGTTTTTGCCAACTGCTTTGTTTTTTCTTAGGATATATTCCTCTCTTTCCACTTCTTGTACATTTGCTTTTTTCTTTTAAGCAATTTTTTACATTCTGTGAAGATCCACTTTGGTCTCTTCAGATTTTTAAATTTTTCCTTCTTGTATGAACTGTTTGGATTTGTGCCTCCAAGATCGCATTATGACAGAAACTCCCAATCTTCTTGGACATTTTTCTCCTTTACAGTATCGAACTGTTGGATCTTGCCTACTATCCTTGTAAGTCCAACAAAGCTTTCTCTCATGAAGTCTAATACTGAGGTATGATTACAGTTTCTCATCACCACACTATCTGAAATTCCAGGACAACATAGTTCTGCCTCCCAGAGTTCTAATTATTTTTACTTCCTCAGCCATTTCCTCTCTTTGCTTTTGAGATTCATCCATAACAGCTTCTTTAATTCTATAGTATCTCTGGTTTCCTATCAGTGAGGTTCAGAACTTCAAAGCGCCTAATGTTGTCTTTGAAAATGGTAGGCTTATGTTTAAGATCTTACTTTGAAAACTGACTGCCTTTGTTCTTCCACTTTAGCTTGAGCCAAATCTATTCTGTGATTAACTCATGGTCACTTCTTTGTTCTTCTAAATGAGCTCTTCCACCTCTTTACATAAAAAATATAGTCAATTTAGTTTCTGTATGTTCCATGTGGTGATGTCTGCACACATAGGCATAATTTTGGTTGTGTGTCAGACTAATAGCTGATCAAAAATAAGTTGGTGTAGGATAAGAGTTATTTAATTCCAGAACATCTATACAGAGTACAAACAGAAGTAAATAATTTTTAAAATCATTTCCACAAATTAATTTTTAATTTTTGGTTGAAGATTCTTTGGTACTCTTAATTATTGGCCATGTAAGGGCAATGATTGTTGGGTTTGGAAAAAAGTAGAGAATAAATATACAAAATGAGGAACCAGGAACAACTAACTATAGGCAAGAAAGAAGGCATTTAAAGTTTGATAGAATAAAAAGAGATGACTCATTTATGATTGATTTGCTCAGTTCTTCCTTGCTCAGATTTTAAACTTGTTTTATTCAAAATGTCTATTGTAATTAAGTTTCAAAAGAATAGATTTAGGTAAACAATTGCATTCCAGTTTGCCCATAGATAGATACAGGTATTGGAAATCATATAAATTTACATTACACTGCTAATGAACATCTTGGAGATTCTCAGTCATCCAGACCATAGTTGTCTCAAAGATGCTTTTTCAAAAGGTAACTAGACTTTATTTTTCCTTGAAGACATTTTGCTTCTCATCCAAGAAGCTTCATGCATTCTGTCAGGATGGTGGGGACGATGGAAAGATTAGATATGACAGGATTGGGTGGTGGTAGAAGGATTATATTTCTTTGCAGTCCTCTGGTTGTTAGCATTCTCCCTGAGAACTCTTGAGGCTACTTGAGGGTTTATCTGTGCTCTCAGGGTCACCTGAGAGTGACCCGGCAAATGGGGGTGAAATCTTTTTGGAAATGCTGAAAGGACTGTGTTGTAGACAGGATATAGGTGGTATCAGATTCCAAACCTCACTCCTCTGTTGAAAGAGGACTGCTCAATGTTAACAAAAATGGCCTCTTTTACCCCTCTTTCAAACCAATGCTCCTAAAGTGAACAAAGCAATGTTTTCCAAAAAGGCCACATTTTGGACTTTCACCCCCAACATCCTTCCAGAACCAATGAAGCTTCTTGGATGAGAAACAAAACTTCCTCTTCCTCCTCCTCAAGGAAAAAACAGTCCAGTTGCCTTTTGAAAAAGCACCTTTGAGGCTGTTAATTAAAATTTCTCCACTATCCCTAGTTTGTATAAGAAAACATCTGAGGCAGTTAATTGGAGGAGTAACAGCTGGGCCAAATTAAAAGTTCTGGAAATGGGAATTATTGGAATTTAACACATGATAATTGGTAGGAGCCAGATCAGGATGCATTAATGGAACACCCTTCATCTTTCTAATCCTATAATCATTTTAGTTAGCCTGAATAATATGTACTGTTTTGAATTGTATCTCTCTCTCTGTCCTCTATAGTCAGCCGATAGAGCTCCTGCATAACTAACCTATATCCTCCATTTATTTGGATTAGAATACAAAATAATTTTGTAGTGGTATAACAGTTTCACTTTCTAGGCCTGCCTGAGGCTTGAAGCTGGCTGGGTCCAGCTTTCTCTCTTAGCCTAGAAAACAGGCATTGTTGGCAAACCATTCTAAAAAATCTTGACAGGAAAACTGTAGGGACTCATTTAGACATTTGCCAGAAATCATGATTGACTCAAAGGCACAAAAAGAAAAGGTACTATATTACTGGAAGAAATTGAATTGTAAGAATTATTTTCTTTTTCAAATTCAGCTCCCCCCCCCCAAAAAAAAAACATCTGGACAGAGTGTATCTTGTTTAGAGTGGTCATGTATAAGCTGCTCTAATGAGTGAAGTAAAAATATTCAGATAGATAAGAGACAGATAGATAAGGTACATTATATTCTCTCTTCCACCTTCAAATGTTGAATGTGGACTGACTGGAGATATTGAAATGCTTTTTTAAAATTAAAATTACTATTAAATAAGGCAGTTTGCACAGAGTCATCAAACTGTAAACATCTAAATGGCCACTAAAAGGAAGCAAAGCATTTAGAATTCTTAAATGAATATTCAACTTCTCCGATAGCCAATCATTCCATAGATTTGTTTTTAAAAGCTGTCTGGATTTCTTAGCTCAACTATCTTTCAGATATTGCCTAAGTACAAATGTTCTAGCTCCACTGGCTGGAAATAATGGGAGTTGGACAATTCCTCATCTGTTATAGACAGAACTTCCCTAAAGAATTTATCATTGACTTGTTTTTCTTGTGGCAACTGATTTCCTTTGGCAGAAAAAATTCCTAGAACATCCCTGATCCTCTCTTCCTTCTTACCTGTTTCCTGAAGGCCTTGTGGTTCTTGTTTTGGGATGCAGGGCATCTTGAGAGCAGGGCCTGGGATAGGCTGATTTAATGTTATATCGGATGAGGATAGGTACTCAGGATGTGGCAGCAGCGAGGCCGAAGGATCCCATGATGCTCCAGGTAAAATCATTTCCTGTGGGCTTACCTGTTCAACCTTGACCCGCACTGTAACCTAGCAACAACGACAACAGTGGGTCACTAAGAATTTAGGGGAATTACCCATTCCATTTATTTGTTTAAGCCTTGCATCTAAAAGGGAATAATTAATCAGCCATTCAAGCATCCATAGTTATTGTTTTGCAATTCCCATTCCAAACACTTTTCAAAAGGATACAGATTGATCTGATAGCAAATCCATCTTATCTAGCACTCTATTCATTGAAATAGCCAAAAGCCTGGAGTCTTCTGAAGGTTTTGGATTTCTGCTCTCATCAGTTCTAACCAACATGGCTATTAACAAGAGGCTGTGAGAGCTGCCCTCCAAGGCCTTTGGAAATACTGCTTTTGGCTTTTTTCCCACCAGAATCCCCCTGCTTGCTTCCACAATCGATGAGCAGCCACTTCCAACCTGAATAAATCAGGAAAAAACGTGATTGGCTGAATGCATGTTCATTTGTTAATAATGAGAAAGCCTTTCATACGACCCAATCTTTTCTGCCCTCTTTGTACATAAACAGGAAAAGTTTTAAAGCCTAATAAAAAGTAATTGATAAAACAAATCAACACATTAAAAAGACAATTCTGTTGAAATCTTGTGCCAACTCAAAAACTTTTACCTGTGTATCATCCTTCCTCTATTCTTGACTCAGCTTTATCTTGCCAGTTCAGTTTGCAAGTTGTATTTGGGCATACTGATGCAATCATTAAAACACTGACAATTCTCAAACAATTCTCCTTTGCCTTGTGGGTGGGAGGAATGATAAAAAAAAATACTGGAGTGCTAGTGATGTTAGAAGTTTTCATCGCAACCTATAATTAAAAAGATTAAACGTTCCCTTACCTGCTGCTCCCACGTCCCTGCCTCTCGTCGCCCCATCTGGTATCCTTCCACCAAAGCCACTGCTTGAGCACACGTCTCAGGGCCTCGTTCCCACACCCAGTTCTGGATCTCTTGGGGCAAGATGGTCAGAAACTGTTCCAGGATCAGCAGTTCCAGAATCTGCTCCTTTGTGCGGCTCTCAGGCTTCAGCCAACGCCGGCAAAGTTCCCGGAGCCTCCGACAAGCCTCCCGGGGGCCTTCAGAGTCCTGGTAACGGAACTGTCGGAAACGCTGCCGTTGCATTTCCACATTGGCGCTTGTTTCCCCTCGCAGGCCGGAAGATTTGGACTTTCTGTGCTCATTCCTACTGCTCCTGGCATCCAAGCCATTATGGGGTGGCTGGGCTTTTCCAAGAGCTGGCATAAGGCGGCTCATCCACTCTCCCCTTGGCCACTGGCATGATTCGGCTGCCCGCTCAAAGGATGACAGGTAGGCTTCGATGTCATCCACAGGTGCAAGCTCAGGTAGCTGGAGATTGCTCCAGCCAGGGGCTGGGGGTGGGACAGGCACAGGGGCTGGCATGACGTCAGCAGGTGTCCTCAGGGTTTGTACCATCTCTTGGCACTGAACCTCCCAGAGCTGTGGAATTGGGTCGCTCCTCACTTGGGGAGGAGTTGCCCACCTCAACAGATCACTAATGGTGCCTGCCGGGACAACAAGAGGAGCCTTTCCCGGAGCATCCCATTCCCAACCTGATTCAGGGCATGGGGGCCCAGGCTCTTCTATTTTCACCCTGGGTGCCATTGTTTCTTCTAATGGGTACAAAAAATGGAGGCCCAATGCTGGAGGAGGTACTTCCTGTGTGGCAGCCATCTTTTACTCGCGCAAGAAAGGAAATTCTTTTCCTCCAAGCTTCCTGCAGACAAAAGCACAGCCACCCAGCCAGAGAAGACTCCGCCAAGTGAAAGAGTTTCAATGCAACGTGTAGTCCCAAGGAGCCAGATAAGTATATGACAGCCAACAGGAAATGATGGACAATCTTTAAAGGTATCCTATTGCCAGTGATGTAATGATTAAGTAAAAGGACACCTTCCTGATACAGAAAGGAAAAACACCATTAAGAATTATGCTCAGAAGAAGCAGGCCCATTGTTAAATATCAGTTTCGCAACCATTATTTGCCTACTACTAATACTGGCTAATATGCTACATGTGGGTCAAATGATCTCCTATGGACATTTTCCCAGGCAGCCTCAATCAGAGGTCTGGATAATAATACAAAATGTTCTAATTTCTACAAAATAGTTACCTCCAGATGTCCTGGTTTATAACTCGAATGGGCCACAATGGATGGGGATTATGGGAGTTATGCTCTATAAGACATCAAGTAGGGAACCTTGAATTGGAACATATTAGCTAACAAAAGGGAATGTAAGAATGCCCATTATGTTTTCAAAAGTCCATTGTTTCTGAAATTTACAATACATCCACATTGGATATTACAATCATATTCAATTAGAAATCAGGAAATCATCCTGAGAGAAGGAAGCAATGCATTTCCCATTTTCAGGAGCATACAAATGATCTACTGCTTTGGAAGATTGTATTTCAATATAAAAATCACAAGAAGTACGACCTTTGAGAATACACGATAGAGAGCTATTATTTAGGATGCCAGCTCCCTGATCCATTCCTACACTTTGGGGAATACTTTGATCCCCTGGACTATTGCCCAAAATGCTTTTTATGGTCCTCCCATTCCCCCTCTCCCCCATGCTTTTGTGTGGTTTTTTTCTGTGAAAAGAAAATACCGAAAGAAAAAATAAGTGAATATAATTAGAACTAAAGGTGGCAAACGCCCCATAAAATTGCATGAATGAGACTGGGCTGTTTGGCAATAAATGCCTTGTCAAGAAGAGTTTTAAATAGAGGTAGTCCTTGACTTATGACCATAATTGCTCTTAGCAATTACAATTATAAAATGGGTCATCATCAGTGACCAACCTGACTTTAGAACCTTTTTTGCAGTGGTTGTAATCATAAAACACATTGTTTGTGGTGGGCTGCTTTCTGCTGGAAAGGAAGTAAACTGCCAGTTTCCAGCAAAATTATGGTAAATCATGGTTATACAACTGAGGTATGCTGCAAATGGTCATAAAAGTGGGCCAGTTGCTGAATGATGCAGTCATGTAACAGGAGAACATGGCTGTCAGAACTCTGGAACTGGGTTATTAGTTTTTTGGGGGGTGAGAGGGATGTCCCAAGTAACTTCAAATAGTCACTACATGGCCAGTCATAAATTGAGGACTACCTGCATCAAAATTCTTCCACATCTTCCTAATAACTTCATTTGTTCCATATTTTATGGAGCCTTCCTAAGTCTGCTGGCGCTACCATTTTTCAGTCAGTGGTGTGCTTTTTCCTACATAAGTACCAGCATTCATAGCAAAGTATCAGAAACAGGGAATGAAAATAATCTCCTTCAGGAATATATCTAATCTCTGCTTAATGTTATCTCACGTGTGATAGACTACAACTGTTTACATTTCTTCAGCTTTGAAGATAGAGGCTTCCAGCTTAGTTGTGCATCTGGTATCCCTTCTGTCACATCCTACGGTGAATCCCAGAGGAGAATATAATTACTTACGCTGATTATTACTAGAACTATAATTCAACATACACTGATTTGGGAATAAGTCTTAATGAATGATAGGCATATATAGGTATGCAGGTATACCTATGAATGAATAAGTATATATAAAACAGTATTTTTCTAACTTAGCAAATTTAAGAATTATGAGAGTTAGTCCACATCTTAAAGTTGCAAAATTTGAAATATACTGGCATAAAATGTACTGTACTATTTATTTGAATGGTAATATGAAAGTCCACCTTCACTTAAGCTTTCTCTCTCTCTCTCTCAAAAAAGATACAGATCTCACATTATGTCATGTTCCTATACAGAAAGATTTACATGAGTTCTAACACTACCCGTCTGTGTGTGTGTGTGTGTGTGTGTGTGTGTGTGTGTGTGTGTGTGTGTGATTTATTTTTATATACTATATAATCTTTTTGGTGTTTTCATTTATACTAACCGCCAAGACATTCTCTGTGCAGAGTGATGCAGTGGTGAAAGTGCTGGTGTAGGAGCAGTATTAGAAGCTCACTGAATGATTTAGGGCAGTGTTCTCAATCTTGGCAGCTTAAAGATGCGTGGACTTCAACTGCCAGTATTCCCCAGCCAGCCATACCAGCCAACCCTATTCTGCCTGGTGAATTCTGGGAGACGAAGTCCACACATCTTCAACTTACTAAAGTTGAGAACCATAGAGCTTTTAGCCCTCTCTTTGACTCATAGGGTTGATATGGAAAAAACAGGATGGAGTACTGTGGATGCCACCTTAAATTCATCGGTGAAAAATATAAATCTTATTGATACATCTTATCAATAAATCTTATTAATACATCTGATAATTCCTATTAAGGATAAAATTAACCATGGAATACCTGCTTAGAGTCAATGTAAGTATAGAATTTGCTATGGTTGATCATTTATGGAATAATTAGGTACCTCCTAAAATTCATCTCTTTCTCTCATCATATAAGAACACATTGGCTTGTATAAAGTTAGTTGAGCATTTTATTTTAGCCACAACCAGCAGTGATGTAACTTCCTCCTTGTGGAAAAAGATAATTCTGAGTATCTTCCTTTAAAAAATTAAGTAGAACATCTGATGTCTCTCTACTTAAGAGTTTGAAAAGTCACTAAGATCCAGTGAGAGTGGTTGCCACAAAACATGACCTGATATAAAGTAGCCTTCCAATATTCCTTCCTCTGGGTAAGGGCTGAAATCCAGTAGGGCAGTGGTCCCCAACCTTTTTTGTGCCACGGCCCGGTACCGGCATCACAAAATGATCCATGGCCCAGTACCGACACCAGCACGCATGACAAGGCAAGGCGAGCCGAGCGACCGGCCAGCCAGCCGTCCCCCACTTCTCCCCGCCACCTTCAACTCCTCCTTTGTACCTTTGTCGATGGGCTTCGCTTCGGGACGGCTTCGGGACGGTCGCTCGGCTCTCCTTGCCTTGGGTGCTGAAAGAATCCTCGCTCCTTAGTTTCGTTCGAAGCACCCCTCACTTCGATGAAACTAAGGTGCGAGGATTCTTTCAGCACCCAAACGCCGCTTTCCAACCGGAAAAGCTCACCCAGAAGCACTTTCTTGTCAAAACAAGATGGCAGCGCCCAGCAAACCGGCGGCCCGGTAGAAAACGTTCCACGGACCGGTACCGGTCCACGGCCCGGTGGTTGGGGACCCCTGCAGTAGGGGATCTACTAATAGTACATCATGGTTCCTGATTAAATCCTTAGCAAATCCTATAAAAGTTAGTGTGTCAAGAAGTTCTTCTTCAGGTACAAACAGCTTTCCCTACTTTAATCAGGATTATAGAATTAAGAGTCTGATTTTGACTTTTTAGTGGAAACTCTTCATTCTTCCCAAGAACCAAAAGTGTACAAAAACGCACAAATAGTTTCCAAAGATCTTGGAGAAGGATCTACCAAAAGGAAATATTCTCATAATATTACACCCAGAATGAGATTTTCTTACTGCTCTTAAGCAGAATCTGAAATTTTTAAATCATATGCAGGATGCGAAATAGCTACCAATAAATCTAACTCTCTCCCTTATGCTCACTTCTGGAACAGGAAAACAAATGATTTGATAAATCATTTTTTTTGCTGCTTCTGGTATTTTTTTATCCATTCCTCCCCCACCCCAACCCGAAGACTGTGGCCTCATGGTCTGCCCTAGAGCCCTAACACATTTTTTCTCAATTTTGGCCTCTTGTAGATGTATGAACTGCAACTCCCAGAATTTCCCAGACAGCAGATTGGCTGGGGAATTCTGGGACTTATAGTCCATACATATTCAAGTGGCCAAAGTTAAGAAACACTGCCCTACAGAGTTACAATCAATCAAAATTCACAAATCTGGACTAGATGGATAATCACATGCTCATTTAGTAAGCTAGTACACTAGCTATATTTGCATAGCACACAATTTGGGGATTTATACAATGCAATGAACCAAAATGGCTTGGGTTTATGTTAACTAACTACACTTCCAAACTCCAGAATTAAAACTAGCCAATGTTGAAATAATGTACAAAAGCATCGACTAGGTCTATAACTGACACTAATCATATTGTGAATTTAGCCATTGCAGTTAGGCTACTCAACTGTTCAATAGGGCAAAATGACGGTTAAAATAAAGTACAGCCGTTTTGCAAACTGGGTAGCTGTACACTTTTGATACTAAATAAATCTAAAATCATGCCCTTTCCAATAATATGCGTCAGTTGCACATGTCATCTGAATCTCCACCTGCCATAAAAACAGGCTGATGGAGGATTTCCGGTTTGAAGGGCTTCGGTGACAGACAGAAATCTGCGATCGTGCGTGGTTTCTGTCTGGGCTCGCTGCTGGAGCGCCCCGAGCCAGCTGGTTTTGGGGCTAAGCCACCCCGTAGAGGTGGTGAAGAGGGGGGAGACCACCAGCAGGGTCGAGGAGAGCTGCATCTCTCCTCCTCAGCTGGCCATTACTCCCTTTCCCGAAGGCGGTTGCAGCAGTGGTCAGAAATGGCCACCACAAAGAAGAACTCGACCGGAAAAGAATGTGCAGGAGGAAGATAAGAAGTGAAAGTTTTGGCTGACGAGGTTAAATTGTAAAAGCAACAACCAAGGTACCCTGGAATTTAAACTTACAAAAAATAACATCGCTCCCAAAGAAGAGTCGGAAGCAGCGAAGGAAAGTGAAAAGGGAAAGGTTTGGCTTTTTTTCTTTCTTCTCTCTCCTTCCCTATACTGACAACTAAGAGACTTAAATAAGAAATCGGAAAAATACGCTTTGACATCAATAGGCGATTAAGCTGAAAATAAAACAAAATGCCAAAGGGATAATAAAGATTTCTGGACATTAAAAACTTTCTTTTTCATAAGCAGGAAGGGAGAGAAAAAGAATAAGGGCAGGATCTGGAAGAGGGAGGAGACTAAGAATCTAAAGTAAAACTTCAACAAGACTTCTAAAAGATACATTTTAACTGAAACTTTGCAACTAAATAGTAACCCTAGGAAGAGAAAGTGAAAAAAAAAAGAGCAAAAAGAATTTGGATTATTTGGATCTTTGGATTCTTGGTTATTATATTTGAATGACTAAAATCAATTGGGTGGTTGTTTAAAAATTTATACAATGGCAGCACTTCTGGATGAATTTAAAATGGAATTTAAAAAGTACAAAGAAGATGCACAAGAAGGAAAGGGTTCTTTTGGCTTCGTTTTTCAATTCTTAGAAATGGAGATTTGGAACTATGAGAAACAACAAGAAAAGACTGCAAAACAAGAAGACTGGGACAAAGAAGCCATCTTTAATGAACAAGTAATTTTATGTGGGGAAGAAAAAGGAAAGGGGGGGAAGAGAATGGAGAATTTAAGACTTAAAAAAACAACCAAAGAAAAATAATTCGAAAAATAAGTATAATACTGGAAAGCAACAGAAAAGGGGAATACAGAAGAGAGAAATAGAGGTAGAGAGACAAGGGGGTAAAAAGGGGAGAGAGAAGAAGAGAGGGAAAAAGGAAAGGAAAAGAAGTT